CTGCCTTCACACTCCTGTCGCAGAGGACAGTACGACTTTACCCCCAGACCGCCCCGTACCACGATTGCTCGTAGTGCGGGGTCTCGCTACTCTTGGTCTGGCTGCTCCCCTTTGGCCTTCCTGGCATGGTTGTACCTTGTGGAACGAAGTTCCAGCCAGTGTAGCCCGCGGGATCATTGCAGCACTCAAGCCCAACCACCACGTCAAGGTGGCAGCTTTAGGTCGAGACACTCCCAGGAAGGGTTCACAAGAAAAACATACGCAACCAGAACACTCCAATGCCGTCATATCGGTCGGTCAGTCAATCAGTTACAAACCGTATATACAGTTGCTACGGCTTCGTTTAGGAAGGACGAGAGGTACAGGAGAATTGCAATCACTCACTGGGGGCGACTGTCAAATCAGTTGAGTGACGTTTTTGTTTATTGATGAAGCAGTGGGCGGAGGAGTGACGTGATGAAGACAATACATTTGGCAGAATATGGCACGCCGACTTAGGTACCAATGTGCGGACCGCATCCCTACATGCTCAACTGAACTAGATAATCCCTGAAAGGCCACTCGATCCAGGTATGCCTTGACAATGCCCCTCCTGTGGTCCCCAGGTCAATGCAGTTACCCCCAAGGTTATGTCCCTTTCCTCATGGCGTTCTTCCTGTTTATTACTGTTCTCTTTTTGGTTCCGATTTCATCGAAGCTTTCGCAGACAACGCCATCCACCTCCAAAATCTGCGTCATCTCGAATTAGTAGCGACCATGGGCGTGTCAGCAACAAACTGATCGCTTAAATATCCCCATGGTCCGAACAAGAATGCAATGATGAGCACTAATGTTTTCAGAATCTCGTCATCAGCTCAGTACATACCTAATAAAAGCGAAAAGCGAAATAAGCAGCGAAGATTGGTTAGTGAAATAAAAAGGGCGTGGATACACGAAAGACTGGTTGTCTGCGCCCCTACGTCGCATCCAACTGGATGCTGTGAGACAGTCTAGAGGGCCGTTGAGTGACTTGGCCGGTTGATTCGTGCCACATGGCCAAGGTAAATTCAACGTTCGTAAGAAACGTTTTTGAAAGCACAGTATCGAGTTTCGCAGACGTATAGCGACTGCATCGGCTGTGGTCGAGAAACGCTGTTGGACCGATACTGGCAGTCTATTGGGTACACGGTAAATGACATGGAAATACTCATTCGGAATGACTGCGTGCCCAGTGCCTATTGAGTGGGACACAATTGAGCTTTTGGCTGGAGTGTTGGGTCTAATGGTATT